TTGTAGCTCCTCCCTATCTCAGGGGTAATCATTTGAACAAACTTGAATCTACATTACCCGAGGATGTTTCCATATCAATAAGACTAACATAGCTTTTCTGTTCTTGAGAAGAATTTTTTTTTCTATATGTTCTGATGTAAAACTTTCGATCCCCCATTGGGCCCCACCCTACTCCCGGGGGTCATCATTTGAACAAAATTGAATCTACACTTCCTGAGGATGCTTCCATATAAATATGACTCTTCATGGCTTTACTGTTCTTGAGAAGAAGATTTTTCCTATATATTTCTAAGTAAAATTTGGATCCTCCATTGTGGCCCCGCCCTACCCCCGGGGGTCATGATTTGAACAAACTTGAATCTACACTTCCTGAGGATGCTTCCATATAAATATGACTCTTCATGGCTTTGCTGTTCTTGAAAAGAAGATTTTTAAAGATTTTTCCTATATATTTCTATGTAAAATTTTGATCCTCCATTGTGGCCCCGCCCTACCCCCGGGGGTCATGATTTGAACAAAATTGAATCTACACTTCCTGAGGATGCTTCCCTATAAATATGACTCTTCATGGCTTTACTGTTCTTGAGAAGAAGATTTTTAAAGATTTTTCCTATATATTTCTATGTAAAACTTTGATCCTCCATTGTGGCCCCGCCCTACCCCCGGGAATCATGATTTGAACAAACTTGAATCTACACTACCTGGGGATGCTTCCCTATAAATATGACTCTTCATGGCTTTACTGTTCTTGAGAAGAAGATTTTTAAAGATTTTTCCTATATATTTCTATGTAAATTTTTGATCCTCCATTGTGGCCCCGCCCTACCCCCGGGGGTCATGATTTGAACAAAATTGAATCTACACTTCCTGAGGATGCTTCCCTATAAATATGACTCTTCATGGCTTTACTGTTCTTGAGAAGAAGATTTTTAAAGATTTTTCCTATATATTTCTATGTAAAACTTTGATCCTCCATTGTGGCCCCGCCCTACCCCCGGGGGTCATGATTTGAACAAAATTGAATCTACACTACCTGGGGATGCTTCCATATAAATATGACTCTTCATGGCTTTACTGTTCTTGAGAAGAAGATTTTTAAAGATTTTTCCTATATATTTCTATGTAAAACTTTGATCCTCCATTGTGGCCCCGCCCTACCCCCGGGGGTCATGATTTGAACAAACTTGAATCTGCACTACCTGGGGATGCTTCCATATGAGTTTCATCTTTCCTGGCCCTGTGGTTCTTGAGAAGAAGATTTTTTAAAGATGCTATTCATTTTTCACTAATTCTTAATTATCTCCCCTTGAAAGAGGGCGTGGCCCTTTATTTTAAAAAACTTGAATCCCCTTCACCCAAGGATGCTTTGTGGCAAGTTTGGTTGAAATTGGCCCAGTGGTTCTGGAGAAGAAGTCGAAAATGTGAAAAGTTTACAGACAGACGGACAGACGGACAGACGGACAGACGGACTACAGACAAAATGTGATCAGAAAAGCTCACTTGAGCTTTCAGCTCAGGTGAGCTAAAAAAGGGCAAACAAACTACTATAACAAATTATTAACAAACCACTGTGGTTTGAAAGTAGTTTAATAGTATAGCAAATCACATGCAAATGAGCTAACAAACTACTATAACAAACCATGAACAAACCACATCAACAAACTACTAACAAACCACATCAACAAACTACTAACAAACCACATCAACAAACTACTAACAAATCACTCTAACAAACTACTAATAAACCACTCTAACAAACTACTAACAAATCATCTCAACAAACTACTAACAAACCACTCTAACAAACTACTATCAAATCACTGGTAACAAATCATGAACAAAACACTAAATATGAATTTTCTTCACAGATCCACAAGTTTTTAAAAACATCTAAACACAGTCACATTTTGAAATGTCCAAAGCTTCTTGTTTCAGAGCATTTTAAATTGATTTCCAGGATTGACAAGTTTAGTCAATGCAAGTGCAACATTCCAACATATTAAACACTATTAAGTTCCTTTAGTTTAGGAGATGTAATTCTCAAGTCAATGGCCACTTATGGTATTCTCCAATCATAGAATTTTTCACAAAAAAGATGTTTTTCATGTAATTGTATTTTAGCTGACATTTTAATATTCCCTGCTTCATTTGGCATGGGAATTGCTGCAATATCTTCTTTTTTCTGGTCTTATTGCAACTCTGTAAGATATCATCTTTTCTTGTCTGATTTCAAGTATTCATCACTTAATCCAGTGCTAAACTTATCTAAGCTATATAGGGATTATAAGTCAGTCTGAAAATAAATAAAAACCCAATAAAAATATGCAAATCCACATTCAATGAAGTTTACTGTAATCCAGCCTTATTTGAGGTAAAAAAGAATTTAATGTCATGCAGTAAATACCTCTTCTGTATCCAGATCCTTGCTTTAATATATTGTTGCTGCTTTCTCCAATCAGGGACTTAATATATACTAACAATTTATATGTCCCTTCAACAATTCCTTTGTTTCTGACCTGCTGGTTGTTTGAAAATTGGTGCAAATAGTCTAACAGCAAATAGTCTAACACCGGATGTAAAGAGATAAGCTGTTCTTGGAAACTTTTACAACTCTAGATAATTCAACCCTAAACATGTCTGTAAAGTAATTTCCCATGTGGTTAGATGCAAATGCTATACTAAGAAAACACTGTTGTAAGATACCAAGTCTAACAAACTATAAAGAAATCACAATCAGCAGAAATGGAAGACTAACAAACCACTTGTGTTATTTTTAGAAACAGTGCTTTGTTAGTGTTTCATTAAATGCTATACTATCAAACTACTTTAACAAATCATGAAAGTATAGTTTGTTTGTAGTTTGTTGATGGTTTATTAGTAGTTTGTTAAAAAATATTTCTGTTTGGGGGCCTGCATTAAATTCCTTATATTTTAACCCAAATGACCTTTCTCTGAATTCCTTTGGCAACCTCCTTTAACCATGCAGTAGTGAATAAAAAGTTACACAGTAATTATTCGATATAAAAGAATTAATGGACAGAAGTGGTTGAAAACTTGGCACCCACATTTTCATCTTAAGCTCAAATTTTATAAACTTAAGAGATAACTGGTGGTCATCTTTGAATCTGACTTAGAAGATAAAACCACTTTTTCCCTTCCTTGAAATATGAACAAAAGTAGGAAAGGGTATTACCGGTATTTAGGGAGGGGGTTGTGTAGCTTTTGTTTTACAGCTCTATATGTCATCATAAATACAAATTGTTAAAAATGAGTTTGAATCAAGATTATGTATTAAGTTCATCTGCTAAGAAGACTCTCCAAGATATTATTTACGAGGGGTGATCAAAAAGTTTGCGAACTATCTCTATATTTTCAAAACCACAATTCAGATCAGAATGAAATTTGGCACACATATAGTCATACATGTGTTCTATATATAGCAGTTTTATGTAATGTTTTGATCCATATTTGTGACGTCAGAATGTGAAAATGATGTCATTAGGTAAGTTACTTGTGACAAAAAATGATTGACTCAGTCGTACTCGAGCAACGAACTGCTGTAAAGTTTAATGTGTATCGTGGAAATTCCTTTGCAATAGCATACAATACTTTGTACAAAGTTTATGAAGACAAAAGACTTGCCAGGAGTTTAATCATTAATTGGATTGATTGTTTTAGTGAAAGAAGGGAGATGGTTAAAAATGATGTTTGTTCTCTTGCCCAGTGAAAGCAAGCTGGGGAAGAGATGTGTCCACAGTTGAGCAATTTGATATGAAAGACCGCCAAGTTACAGTTAGAAAAATAGTTGAATATCTTAACAATAATACAGTTATTTAATCCCTAAAATATCGTTTACTTTAGAATTTAAACATATCAGATATGATAAAAAGAAGGCGCCATGCCTTATATCCACATTCGATAAACGACGCTCCCAAGACGGAAAACTCGGGTTGCGATGGTCACCATGCTCATTCCGGGAAAGGATATCCTTATCCACCCATCCTATTGCCGAGATTTGGCCATTTTTCACAAGTTGACTGTTCTTGTTATAAAAAATAACTTGCATGGTAAGAAATACAAGACTCAAAAAAATCTTTTACATCCTGTGAACGGAACCCTTCGGAGCATGTCACGTGACCGCCTGTATCACATGATTTGCGCATGGGCAAAACTGTGGCAGATGTGCATTTGAATTGGAGAGGACTACTTTAAAAAATAATGAACACTACAACCTAATTTCATTTCTTTTATGGAAGTTATTCAATTAGTTCGCGAACTTTTTGATCACCCCTCGTATCTTCAGTACATGAGAAACCTTAGCCTTGCCTCAAGTCTGGAACTAAGAGGTGAGGAATGATACAAATTTGGTAATAGAATACTTACTCCTTATATTCACAGTACATGTACATTTATAAATACATGTAGTTTCCTGATGGATTTCTGTAGAAAAAGATTATTTTGCCTTGCCTTGTGGTTTGAACCCTGAACTACTTATATCTTAATATAATGCATTTCTTAATTTTAGCACAAGCTTATTGCTCGGACATGATAACCATGCAAACAATTAACTTAGTACATGTATGTACAGGGGTAAAGAAGACTTCTGAAGATACAGTGCAATTGCTCTATTTTGCAGTGTACGACATTTTTAGTCCCACCATGGAACTATAAAGCTCATGCAGACTTGGTCATCAAGTGATTCTCATCTCGGTACAGGGCTAATTGCTAGATGTCAAGGATTAAGAACACAATTTTTCTTAAAAGAATAGACTGCATTTAGTATGAAGGTTTTCACCCTACTGCTCAGGTTCAACAGAGGTGGGAGTAAGAAATAGATGCTCTATCCATACATTAGTCTAGTTCAGTTTCAGGGAAGATGCTGAAAGGCCCAAAAGTTTAATAATGATGCATGGCAATGGACAGGCCCAGGGGGAAATCTGTTGTATGAGTGACTTTCAATGTTGGTGATCAAATAACACTCTGATAAAATAAGAACTTACCGCTGTTAAAGAAATATGTTCTTGTGCAACAAAGTGGACCTCTTGGAGATATCCCATGACACACCTGAAATATCAATATATATATAAAGTAAGCCACTCTACTTTCTAATATTGTTACAGAAGCCATTTATGACCTTAAAACAATCAATACACTTTTCCTTGCAAAATACATGTATATACTTTCAATTTACTGGAAAAAATCTACAATTAAAATTAAACAATACACAACATTATATTTTAATTTCTTTACAAGAAAATAACAATTGACAATATAATTTATTTCAATACTATATACAGAAGTATAAACAAAAGTCAAAAGTACAATTTCATCAAATGACATAATGTAAAATGTTCAACAAACCATAAACTTTGGAGGTCCATCGTTGATGCCACATTGAGAGATTTCCGAATTAACTGATGTTTTGCAGCGCCGGACATCATCCAGTATGATGCGTCGACTGTTTGTTCCACACAAAACAAATGGTTGTCTCTGTCTTTCTCTGTAATTCATGACCATCTTTTAAATCAAAATTATTTTAAAATCAAAGTTATGTGTACTTATAACAGAAAAGCAATTCATATAAGTAGAAGGGGCTCTTACACCACATTTTAAATTGGGGCAAGGGTCGTAAAAATTGGCAGAATTAGAGAAATTTTAGTGAAAATTGGCAAATTAAAAAAACCCATGCATTCATCCAATTATAGACAATCAAAAGCCCCAGTAGAAAGCACTCTCCTCGATGAAAAGGGATAAAATGAGACATACAAGATTATGGCATTTGACTTTCTCACTTACATGGTGTTAGTTTCTTGGGATGCTACTTTTCCATGTTTAAAATAACTCCAGAGTGGCTAGAAATAAAGAGTAAAATAAAAAAAATTAGCCTCATCTCTGATTTATAAAGCCTTTTTTTTCTTTTTTTTTAGAATCTCTTTAAAGTATAATAGAATTGTCAATTGTCAGCTACTGTAGATCACAAATCCCCCCCCCCCCCAAATTATCTTATGAGAAAGTTATTTGGCAATTACAACTGTATAAGCAAGAAAAAATTTTCACAAATTCAGGTTTTTGTTATGCATAATCATTCATAATAAATGTGAGATCAAAATTTTTGTGGGCAGACAGTCTCACAAAATTTTAAACATAAAAACTTTTTTCTCATGAATAGAAAGTAATTTACAGTATTGAAATTGTTACCTCACACACTTTATTCTCTGTGAGTCTGCCTATACCAGTTGATCTGTGAAGATAACAATTACTTTTAATTAGCATTTACAACTACTTTTATTTTAAACTTTACGTTCACCGTACTTCTACATTATACGACTCATAATCTCAAGGAAAGTAAAACCCCCTGGTTACTCAACCCAGTCCTTACATGTACAACAGTTACCATAAATCATATTTAATTTGTCGAAACTTTACTTTTGGCATAATTTATGAAATCATAGGTATGCAAAAATAATTCTACTCTACCATTCCAATTAAGAATAATGGCAAGTAGCTTTCATTATATCTCACATGGATGACAGACAAAACTATGGTATACAAAGGTGTAGGAGACATTTTTTTACTAATAATTAGATTCTTTGCTGATACATGTTGTTTCTTTTGGTGTGGGCAAAACAAATAAACAACAGTTACTTACATGTTGATGTTCAGATTATCTATCAAGGTCTGCCATTGTCTTTCAAACTGGGTCATTTGCTAAAATATATGTGTTTATTCCATAAATGTTCACCAAGTTCCTTTTTGTTAAAATGTATTTATTCTCTGGTTAATCCAGACTTAATTCGAAATAAAAATCATCTGAATACCAGTGACTCACAGCAAAATGTGCCACATACATTTCAACACATATTTAAAATGCATTTAAATTTCATGCAAAGCTAATACTCTAAAATTGTATGTTCTTGTGGGGTAAATGTTCTGTGGTTTGAGGAAAATTTTTTTCAATGGGGATTTGAATTCATGGTTGAAGAAGTGTTGAGTAGTTATCTACATGCAATTTTACATTTCATGGTGGACATGAACTTGTGGGTCTCTTCATACCAGGAAGACAACGAAAATTAAATCCCCATGAAAATAAATGATTTCACAGTACATGCATGATACATATTTGGCATATTCTGTTATGAAAGATTAGCTACAGTTTAAAATTTATCTCCCTTTCATGACATGTACCTCTGTGAGGAGCACTTCCAAGGCACAAGGATCCATCAGACTGTATATGTCAGAGAGTAGTGGTCCAATGTCAACCACCTGTCAACAGAAATAGTTACAGAACAGATCAACCACTTGTCAACACAAAGATTATACATTCAAGTACTAAAAGACGGATCAACAACCTGTCAACATAAATAGTTACAGAACAGATCAACCACCTGTCAACACAAATAGTTATGGAACAGATCAACCACCTGTCAACACAAATAGTTACAGAACAGATCAACCACTTGTCAACACAAAGATTATACATTCAAGTACTAAAAGACGGATCAACAACCTGTCAACATAAATAGTTACAGAACAGATCAACCACCTGTCAACACAAATAGTTATGGAACAGATCAACCACCTGTCAACACAAATAGTTACAGAACAGATCAACCACCTGTCAATGTAAATAGTTACCGATCAACAACCTTTCAACACAAACAGTTACTACAAAACAGATGGAGATATTGCTCATTTTGCTAAACATACAGTAGATATGGATTACTCTCCATTTTTTACTGGTTTTAATAATTAATAATAAAAATATGCTTAAAAACAGGGAATTTTCTTTCAACATACCTATTCCAATTACAGTATAAATCACAAGTAAAATATGACACTGTACATACCTCATACTGCAATGTGAAGAATCCTCCTCTGTAACAAAAATAATTCACTTTATAACTCAACAATTTCTTTAACAGTCACAGGCAATTTACAGTAATGACAAAAACTATGACAGTTTTCTTACTACTAACTTACCCTTTATAATCCTCTAATGCATATGCTTGGATGATTGGCCATTTCTCAATCATCATGTGATCAAATTTAGCAGGATGCCCTGTGAAAAGATAAAATATAGTACAAAAAATATTATAATATTACAGTGTATAGGGAAATTAAAGGATGGCCATAATTGCTTCAATATATCTACAATTAATTGTATCTACAGTACACTGAAATTCAATTTATATATAAACATACATTGTGAAAAATTATCACTTTGTTTCATATACATGTATTACTATAAACATTTTGGATGTGCATATGTACCGGTAAATATGTACTTTAAGTGTTATATAGTTGTTAAGTAAAATTAAATAGAGTTATTCACATTAACATAAATATACTTCATTTACCATACTAAAGATAAAATGCATAACCTGAATAGCTACCCACCCAACACATTATGAGGAATACCAACTTTCCTCACACCCTGTACCATGGCAATGAAGGACTGGATTTTAAATTCTTCTGCCGCCTCTTCATCTTCATACTAGTCAAGCATACAGGGTATGTACAAAGTGTGTATCTTTATCACATCCCATATTTCTTAATATTCTTTAGCTTTTAAATTATATATATATATATATATATATATATATATATATATATATATATATATATACCTTTATCACATCCCATATTTCTTATATTCTTTGGCTTTTGAATTATATGGTGAAACTAACAGAAGGTCATCAAATTTTCATGCATAATAATTAGGGATGTCAAATCGGTCAATTTTTGATAATCGGTTACTCGGACGTTTTTCCGATCGAGTACCCGGGTACTCGGTAAAAAAAATGTAAATACAAGTAAAATTTTCTTAAGCCCCATTTAGCTCTCTGTTAAACCTCAAAGCTATTTTTATCACGTTTATAAATGTATATAAACATCGATTCCAACGGAAATGTTTTTGGTACTAAATTTATTTATCCAACACAAAAGACACAATTAATACATCAAAATTACAAATGGTTTACAGTTCTTCTTTAGGATCTATTTCATCAAAAGGAGGACAATCTCTTACGCATGTTTATGATGATTAGACTAGCGAAAGAGAAGAAACGGACGTTGTTTGGATCGCTAGTCTGATATTATTTCATATGTTGGTTGTTTCCCCCGTATACACTAAACTTACGACGCAAACTGACTTTCAACATTGTTATTTCTAAATATTTCTTCACTTTTGAAGTTGGTAACGACATTTCTATGCATGTCCGATTTTGCTGCCGTATATTAACTAAATAATTTTAAAATGATTTAAAGATAATAGACCATCGATGTTCACTGAAAACAATCATTGAAGCCATTCAAAAATTAAGGACCACAATAGGTGAGAACAGCTGGGTGATTGGTCACTAATTATTGTAGATACACAGCCAGAGGCGATAATGGGTGTTTTACAGGTGTAGATGACCACATGCAAATTACCGTATGTATATTTCAGTTATTTTTGATGAAAATATGTACTTTGTAATAAGAAAAAATACACATCTGAGTAACCGAGTACCATTTTTAGTATTCGATACTCGGACGTTCGATCGAGTACCCGGTTAAGCGGGTACTCGTTGACATCCCTAATAATAATAAAACCCACCTCTGAATCTGACAAACAATGGAATCGTAGGTTTCTCCAATGTGCCACATATGGTAAGAGGTAGTGGTAATTGATAGGGTTACAATATATGTCCACTTCATGTCTTCTAATCAGCAATATCAAGTCTAAAATACATGTATAAGCTTACTGCATGCTATTCAATATATACGTAATACTAGTAAACATACAATATATAAAATTATTATCATAAAAATTTACAAGCAATTACTAAATTGACAGCATAATGAAAAGAATCTTTCATGACAATGAGTTTTTATCAGTTTAGAGATCATACTTAAATCATGATTTATAATTGCCCAAAGAAGAAGAAGAAAAAAATGTATCTTCAATCCTAAACAAATTAAAAGAAATACAAGGGGAAAAAAACACCAAAAAGTTGCAAAAACAAAGTAAAAATTTTGTTTAAAGTGTTTGCTGGGTTAAACTCCAACATAATACACTTACTAATTTGATCTACAATGTCTGCAAAGAAAACAGACAAATACTTAACATAAGCTTCATCCTTTTATTAGTTCTTAATTAATAAAAGAACACAAGTCTGAAATCTCACCATCAATAACTTCTTCATCAAAGCCAGACCTACAAAATGAACAAGAAGTTTGTGAGCCAATGCTCACTAGTAATACCCCACTCTGATGTAAATATATGCTCTCATGAATCCCAACATATGGCATGCCTAACCAAAGAGTGTGCTAAAATCACATGCATCTGCCTTGAGTAGTTGCTGAGAAAACTGTGACAAAAAAAATGTGACAGATGCACCCAAAAAACAGGAAGTTGACATCAGATTTGTACAAAAATGAATCTCACCATATGGCATGCCTAGACAAAGATTGTGCTTAAATTTCAAGCATCAGCAATAAGTAGTTGCTGAGAAAACTGCGACGAAAATTTGTTACAGACACACCAACACACAAGGGTAAAACAGTATACCCTCCTCTCATTTGGAGCGGAGGTATAAAAAAAAATGCATTACATATAAGAAGCAAATATGACAAGGTACTGTCACTTTTTTTATACAATGCATGTATTAATTAGGCCAAAATACAAAGTTAACTGATTTTATGAAATAACAATAATTTCTATCTGTCTGTCTCTCTACATCATTTAATCTTTTGCATAAAACTCTGTTTTAAGTTGCATATCAATTTATTAAAGATTTCATAGTATAGAGTAAATTATTCGGGATATTGTAGGGAGGTGGGAGGGGTCAAATTTATACATTTGGCAATGTTTTTATGGATCAATACCAAAACATATAATTGTGATTGAATGTCAGTGAAGTTTACTAACTTTGAGGGAGCTAATTCATGATTGCAATGATAAGGTGCATGATAAAAAATACATTAAAGTTCATACTGTTCAAGCTCTGCCTTTCTACGTTCAAAGAATCCAAATAATAAGTAATCGATGAACTCTGTGCTTCCTTCATGATAACGACTGTCTATTCCTAGGAAGGAAATAAAACAAAGCAGTCTATTTACTGTATCATGAAAAAGTATAACATAAAAAAAATTCAATGTGGAAAAATTGATAATTGTCAGGAACAAGACTAACAAATTGACAATCATGTTAAATCAAATGTAAACTAAAAATGCACATCAAAGATGTGTATTGTTGATAAACTTGAAAATATATATGGTAATCATAATCAGGACAAAGCATCTAACTTTTGTGGTAGAGTCTAGTTTTCTGACAATTTGAAAAGATAATTAGTTAAACATACCTGCAATACAAAGAATCGCATCAGGCTTGTTGTCATGTTCCTCAGACTTCAGTAACTCCTGTACTGTTCTTAACCTGGATCCACTTTAGAAAAACAAAATAGAATGAGATTGGACCTAGACATTACTGAACAAAATTTCAGAAAATATGTAATTCTATGGTCATTCTACTATGTCTACATTCATCATGTAAACAAAGGCCATAGTTGATAAAGTTGAAAAATAAACACTGGTTTTTATGGAGTATTTGGAAGTTGATCCCTAGTTGTTGAACAATGTTGCTCTTACAAGTAAAACTATTCAGTAACACTCTCCCTTTTGGCAAAAATTATTTGAAATTCATTACAAGTGTAACAGGAAAGGAGAAAATATATGGCTGGACCAGGAATCAAACCATGGACCCCTGCATCACTAGTCAGGTACTCTACCGACTGAGATACCCAGGCTGATATCCACAGCCCAAACCATTACACGAGAAAGTAAGAAGGTTCCAACATACTACAACAAAAAGTAGGGAAATGGGGGGGGGGGGGGGTACTTAAGTATGAACATTTCCATACATAGTTATTGGCAAAAGACTCTTCTTAGAAAAAATTGGGAAGAGGGTTCCCTCACTCCTGCATACTAGGGCCTGTTTACAGATATCATCTGATCAAGTGTGACCACTAATTCTATTCCAACATGTCATTATGTTACTGATACATGTAACAAGAATAGGTAATTCACTAATAACATGAATAAGGATTGGATCCCTTTTCAAAGTGGCATTCACTCATGTAATTTAAGACAAATCAAGATTTTGAACTATTTGCTTTGTCAATTCACTAGAAATCAATGGATGATAACAAAGCAAAATATTTGGGAAAAAAATACATATATGTACGTTGAAAAAATTGAAGGCCATGGTATTGTGTATTTTGCTCAAGACATAGTGGAGAAAGAGATGATGTTGATACAGACAAGGTGTCTGTGATATAGACTATATTGTTGCTTCTAGCTCTTGGCTGAAAACTAATGAAGGTAATCAATAAAGCTATATCTGGTGATTTCCTGTGATCTGTTAATGCTACAAAAAGATGATTTTAAAGGGGGGGGTTATGTCCCCTTTTAAGAAGTATTTTGGGGTACCTTTAAAACAAGAGGCCGATGAGCCACATTATTCCTAAGCACTTTGGCTAGGAAAAAGCAGAAATCAATTCAGTATTGAAATTTTTTTTTAAAGTGGTCCCTCCCCCCAATGAATCTACATTATCTGAGGATGCTTCTACATTTCTTTGAATAATTGCTTTAGAAGATTTTAAAAGATTTCTTCCTATAAGTTTGATCTTCTATTGCCAATTGGGGCCCTGCCCTATCCCAGGGGGTCAGGATTTGAACAAACTAGAATCTACACTATCTGAGAATGCCTGTTTATTAATAGACTAATCATGGCTTTGCTGTTGTAGAGAAGTTTTAATGATTTTTCCTATATATATTCCTAATATGTACAGGTAACGCTTGATGGCTTGAACTTTGATCTCTCAAAGTTCTTTATCGTTCGAAGTGAGGTCTCAATTTCTTCCCCTATATAAGTAAGCAAATTTCCTCTTGATTTCTCGAACTCTCAATCTCTCGAAACCCTTGATCTCTTGAAGTCCCGTTATACATAATCTATTGTAAATTACCCTCGGTACGTCAAAGCGGCTATGTGTACGCAAGCATTACCTAATTAACACCTTCACCTGGACATTCAAATGACTCCTAGCATTAGACACATGACCCATGTAATGGGATGTTTATTCAGGTGATCATGACACTTGTACTGCAAGTGATAATTGATTGATAATTAATCATACTGTTGCCTGTATGCTCTTAAAATAATAAAAGTCCTACGATAATTTGGAGACAAAGTGGAGCGCAGATACTTAAAAGATACCTTTTCTGTTTTGATTTAGATTGACCTCTTCAAACTGCATGTGACATTTGGCACGTCTAGACTCTGACTTCACATGATGTCGTATGTAAGTTGTAAGTCTGAACAGTGCTAATTGTAATAAAGGACGTTTAATTTACTATTTATCTGCTATTAATATATCCATTAAATCAAGGTGAGTTAATATTTTTTTCTTTTTGGAACTTCATGGAACCGCGAGAACGTAGTTTGCGGCAAGATGCAATTCGCAAAGCATTATAGGACCACAGGTACTGCGGAAAAAATTCGTTTGGATCAATGTGCAAAGTCTGAATTTTCTCTTCTTTTTTTTCAGGCGCTGCTTAAAGAGCTCTGCGCTCGCTATTGCCATTTTTGAATTATTGTAAAGTAGAAAGTTATTTGAGAAATTTTATGTTCGATCTTAAGTCATAAGTTCTTGATAAAATGCATGGGCTCCATCTGCCATGATCTGGAGCTTAGTCGTACATGGATAAATTAAACGATTAAAATCCAGTGGTGAAGGGCTCTTGTGATTAAAAACTGGATAAATGTATCCATTTACAGTGTCATATGTTCGCCAATTCGCACTTTGAGAGTCTCAAATGAATCGCTGTCCACAATTTGCTGTTGCAAGGAGTTCCAGAGAAAAATAGGCTGAAAAAAGGAGTCTTGGTAACTATATATAGCTTGGTAGGACTATATATAGTGCATACTATGAAGCAATACCTGACAAAAGATGAAAACGTATCAAGTTTTATGTGCCTTCTTGCAGAAGATGGTCGTTTAAATTTTTGTGACATGACTGCAGCATTCAATGCAACGACCACCGACCGCCATTAAAAATCAACATCCGGTGATAGGAATCTTTTGGTCATGCTGTTTGGCGGTAAAACATACTCATATCTAATAATAATATTATCGGGAAGTTTACGTAATCAAAAATTGAATAGTAAAAAAACAACAAAAGTTTTGTTTAAACACAGCAGTTGTATAATTTATATTAAATGGAAAAAATACAAATTAAAATGATTAGGAAAAACACTTTTAATTGTAGTACGACTTACCTAAACCACGCATTAATCTGGTTCTCGATTCCCTCCCGATGTTATCTTAGAACCAGTTTAACTTTCTGCTCGACTTTGGTAGTTTGGATAAAATGAGGACTGTTTTGACAAAATTGGCTGATCAGATTTTGCTTTCAACATACAGACAAGTCTTTCCAGGTAATTCTAATTTTCGTGTTATTATATAACTATCAATAACATAGCGCAATGGTATGTCCTATGCTTTTCTTTCGAATTTCCTCAGTTGTAATATAGATACAGAAATGCCTCCTCCATGTAGTAAGGCCGTTCTAGTCTGTTCATGTAGAACAATAACGGTCATCAACCCCGAATTTCTGTAGATATTTGATTGTTGAAGCAGAAGGCAAAACTGGGGATTTTTTATTTTAAAAAAGTGGGACAGTGTCAAGAAACAAGTTTAAGATTATCTCTAAAATTTAGCTATAAAACTTTATTTTATATTAAGCAAATCAAAATAGCTTCATATAGTTTTTTGCATTTTCATCCATACATATTATTGATAAATGATTTTGGTAAGCATTGCCAATGCCATGGTTATTAGGCTAAAAAAAATATATTTCTGATCACATTTTGTCTGGCGTCTATCTGTCCGTCTGTTTAGCTGTCGGTCCATCTGTAAACTTTTCACATTTTTGACTTCTTCTCAAGAACCACTGAACCAGTTTAAACCAAACTTGCCACAAAGTATCCTTGGGTTAAGGGGATTCAAGTTTGTTCAAATGAAGGACCATGTCCTCTTCCAAGAGGAGATATTACAAATTAGTGAAAAATTAATTAGCATCTTTTAAAAATCTTCTCAAGAACCACTGGGCCAGGAAAGATGAAACTCATGGGAATCATCCTTAGGTAGTGTAGATTCAAATTTGTTAAAATCATGATCCCCGGAGGTTGGGTGGGGCCACAATGGATGATCAAAGTTTTACATAGGAATATATAGGAAAAAATCTTCAAAAATCTTCTTCTCAAGAACAGCAAAGCCATGATTGGTCATATTGATATGGATGCATCCTCAGGTGGTGTAGATTCAAGTTTGTCCAAATGATGACCCCCAGGGTTAGGGTGGGATCACAATGGGGGATCAAAGTTTTACATAGGAATGTATAGGAAAAAACTTGAAAAATCTTTTTCTCAAGAACAGCGAAGCCTTGTTAAGTCATATTGATATGGAAGCATTCTCATGTAGTGTAGATTCAAGTTTGTTCAAATCATGACCCCTCAGGGGTAGGGTGGGGCCACAATGGGGGATCATAGTTTTACATAGGAATATATACTAGGAAAAAACTTGAAAAAATCATCTTCTCAAGAACAGCAAAGCCATGATTAGTCTTATTGCTATGGAAGCATTCTCAGGTAGTGTAGATTCAAATTTGTTCAAATCATGAACCCCAGGGGTATGGTAGGGCCACAATGGGAAATCAAAAGTTTTACATAGGAATATATAGGAAAAAAAACTTAAAATCTTCTTCTCAAGAACAGCAAAGCCATGTTTTGTCATATTGATATGGAAGCATCTTCAGGTAGTGTAATTTAAGTTTATTCAAATCATAACCCCTCAGGGGTAGGGTTGGGCCACAATGGGGGATCAAAGTTTTACATAGGAATATATAGGAAAAATTTTTTTCAAGAACAGAAAAAAACATGTTCAGTCATATTGATATGGAAGTGTCCTCAGGTAGTGTAGATTCAAGTTTGTTCAAATGATGACCCCCAGAGTGGGGGTGGTGGGGAGGGGCCACAATGGGGGATCAAATTTTTAACAAGGGAATATAATATAGGAAAAAATCTTTAAAAATATTCTGCTCAAGTACAGCAAAGCCATTTGTTATATTGATATGGAAGCATCCCCAGGTAGTTTAAAATTCAAGTCCCCCCCCCCCCCCATTTAAACTTTTCAATACTGAACTGATTTGTGCTTTTTCCTAGCGAATGTGCTCAGGTGAGCGATGTGGCCCATGGGCCTCTCGTTTTATTGGTAGGTATCATTATTTTTTTTTATTGAGCCCAGCTTACAATACTATGAGTACTTTGATTTGATATTTTTGATCATTTGATACTAAGTATTACTGAATAGGGGATGGGCCGTAGATTTTAAGGATACTTGCAAACTGTATGCACCAACAACCTTTATTCAGCTTTGCTTTGGGAAGAGTTTGAAAGACTTGATAACAAGTTTGAAGACTTGGTAATTCAAACTACTCCAGAGGCAGAGTGGGTTTAATTCAAAAAGAAAATGTCTGTAAACCATCCTCAGAGCCTTGACATGAATCCCCATCATGCCATGTTTCTTACACTTGTGTACAATATCAGTCACTTATTACTTTAACAGAATTCAGACAGACTTCTGCTTTAAAAGTTGGGCTATATTTTTCCTCATTTGTCTCTCCAGCATTTCACAAGTGACTAGTATAGTATATTTGACATTAGATTCCAATCAAGTCAGTGTGGTTTTCAGTTATTGTGTTGTAATTTATCTTTAGATAAAATGTCATATATATGTGGTTAGGAGAAAGCATCAGATCAAAAGTAGTAATAGTACATAGAAATGATATTCCTGGTCACAGAATTCTGGACCTAGATAGTAATTTCTTTTCAAGGATTGTTAAGACTTGGATGAGAAATGATTTACTGTAGAAGCACAAATTTTCATGGGGATAAAATTTTGTTGATTTGTCCTCTAAAAAGGTTTTGTGGGCATTAAATTTCATTGTTTAGAAAGTACCCCCCCCCCCCCCCTATAAAGTAAATAGTCACATAAAAATTTCATGTGGGATTTAATTTCTTTGTTAATTGTACTATAACAATGAAATAAACGAAATTTAATCCCCAACGAATATTTCTGCTTGTACAGCATGTACAGTAATACACTATGTGTTAAATCAAATTTATAAGAAGTAACACAGACTGTTAGTAGTGATGGCATTCATATGAAACATTTTCAATTTACATACATGTAGGATGGTATACCTTGCCATCCAGAGCAGTAACTACAAGGTACTGGGATGGAGAAAAATTTGTAGAAATGGAAACCGCACCTGATTTAAGTGCTTCTGATGAAGTTCCCAAAGGAGAGAAACTGAAAGAAGAATCAGAGAAAATTCTGAATAAGCTTGGAGAGGATGACCCACGTGTGAAACCCAGAGCCTCAGTACAAGGGGCCCCAAGGGGACTGAAATACAGAAAGAAGTATGTTGAGGCCCTGAAAAGTAAAGAAAAAATTGAGGAAAGTTACAGCATTGAAAAAATTGAAAAGATACTTAGTGAAATGGTGATAGCTCAGCAACAAAACCAGCAGGCAGAGAGAGGGGATGGTATTCAAGATGAGGTAGGTGTTAAGTTATTCTCATACTGTAAACAGCTTGTTTAGCTCACCTGAGCAAATCCTTAAAAATCTCGGAAGAACAGCAAAGCCATGTATAGTCATTTTAAATATGAAAGCATCCTCAGGTAGTGTTGATTCAAGTTTATTCAGATCATAACCCCTGGAGGGATGGATGCGGCCACATTGAATAGGAGATCAAAGTTTTACAAAGGAATATATATATTACAGGGAGAAATCTTTAAAAGTCTTCTTTAAAACAGCAAACCCCATGATTAGTCACATTGATATGGAAGTATCCTCAGGTAGTATAGATTCAAGTTTGTTCAAATCATGGTGCATGGAGGGGGGGGGGGGGGTAGGGTGGGACCACAACTGGAGATCAAAGTTTTACAAAGCTATACAGGGAAAATCTTTAAACATCTTTTTCTTGTGAATGCTAAGCCCGTAAGCCATGATTAACAACCATATTTATATGAAAGCATCCTCAGGAAAGGTAGATTCAAGTTTTTCAAATCTTCAGGCCCTTGGGGATAGGTCGGGGCCACAAAAGGAGATCACAGTTTTACATAAGAATCTATCAGGGGTTGAAATTTTCCTGAAAAACTCACCAGCCCAGGGGCTACTGATCAGTAAAAAATTACTAGCCCAAACCTCAAACTAACTAGCCCAACAATTTTCTATGAAAAATGAAAACATAACACAAGTATCGTAAAGTCACTTGTATTGGCCACACTTTTTTTCTTCAGAAAATTGTTTAAAATTAGGGATGCGCTTAATACATCTGAACATAATACAACCCCCTTTTTTCCAGGTCACTTTCGTAGTGCCAAGGACCATTTTCCCGATCCATTTGAATTGATTACTCTTTGTAACCAATTATGTCAAAGTTTATTACTATTACTCTAATTTCAGAGTCATTTACGTCAGCCCTACCTGTTGTGTATATATATATATATATGTTGTATATATGATATAATCATATACATCTACCCTACCTGTCGAAAAAAAGATAATCGTTTCATAAATAAAACCATAATGAAAAACGATCTTTGTTTTTGTCTTATTTCCATTGCGTATTCAGCCATTTTGAACTACCGGACTATCGTTACATTTAAATTTGCTAGCCTAATAGTCTTAAAATGATTAGCCCGGACATCGGGCTACCACATATTTCAACCCCTGATCTATAGGAAAAATCTTTTAAAAATATTCCTCAAATGAACAGAAAATGCATTATTAATCATATTGATATCATATGAAAGCTCTTGAGGTAGTCAGATTCAAGTTTGTTCAGATCAGGGCCCTAGGAAATAGTTTGAGGGTACAATAAGGGATAAGAGTTTAACAAGGGAGTATGTAGGCAGAAATATTTTCAAGAGTGGCTAGACTTCACTAAACCATATTTATAAGCAAAACATACCTAAGTTCTGTTGAAACTTTTTTTGTTTTTATTATGAACCCTGGGATTAGGGTTTAACCAAAATCAGGGATCTAGATTTTACACAATGCATGTGTACTAGATAAAAAAAAATCATCTCCAGAACAGCAGGGCCATGTTGACCATATTGATAATGAAGCATCCCAATGTTGTGTGGATTCAACTTTAAATAAATCATAGCTCCATTAAGGCTAGATTTTATGCCACAATATGGAGTCAAAATGTGTATGAAATTAAAGAGGGTAATTTATTATTTTTAAAACAAATGCTGATGAAGAAAAGAACTGCAAAAGAGACTCAGGTGATTACTGTGGTTCATGGGTCTCTGACTTGACTTGATTTTTGCTGCTCTCACTGTAAGATATTGCCATTTTATTTCTCATTGCGGGAAAATAGTAGCATTTGACAATCATGTTAATAAGGTACCATTTGATACAAGAATACGAGAAATCTCATTACTGACAGCCCAGATGGAGATTTGGGAAGAAAGAGTCATTATTGGAAGAAAAAAAAACAATGAATTTGAAACCATTTTTTTTTTTTTGTAAACTGAAAAAAAATAACCAGTGACATCAAAGCTGTATACAGTGTCATATAAATTATAATGTCTTATTGTAAATATTTTGTGGTTCAATCAAAATTTCAATTTAATTGAAATACATGTGTATATATATTGTATACTCTTATATTTGTATCATTTCTATTATTGTAGTTCTCACTTATAAAGAATGAAAGACCTCCCAATCCATATGCCACAAAGCAACGAAAGTGCATTCTTTGTGAATATGATGTCCATCTTGATTACAAGGTAATTCATTGACAATGATATCTGTACAGTAAAGATAGGTTATCCTGGCTTCGCTGCACTTTGGTTGAAGATGGTTTTCTTGCGGTGAAAATTTTCAGTGTTCCCCTCAACTGCATGCAATATTTATGTAGGACTCCAAAGTGCAATGGGACTCCAAGGCCCGATGGTCACACCAAAGTCCGATGGTTTACGCCATACCCAGATGGTTCACACGCCAAAGTCCGATGGCGCAGAAAAAATAATTATTGTTTATGACATCAAAGTACTTCTGTGCCAAATTGCGATGCCGCGCCATGCCAAGGTAAAATGGTTTAAAAATAAATTAAATGAATTTTAAGTATTTAAACGCCAAAGTAATATGGTTCACTAAAAATGCAAAAAATATATTGTACCACTAGCCATAATTTCTTAAGTGGTTGCGAGGCTAACCCTTTCCTCTCGGATTCGTGGGAGGCTAACCCTAATCTCTCTGATGGGTGGGATGCTAACCCTAATCTTTTGGATGGGTGCGAGGCTGACCCTAATCTCTTGGATGGGTGCGAGGCTAACCCTAATCTGTCAAAAAGTCTGTAACATCCTGGATGTGAGAGAAACTAACCCTTATCAGTCAAACTTATTGGGGTGCAAGACTAAAACTATTCAATTGATTAACCCTTAATGTCTTGGGTGGGTGCAACCCATCCTATAATCAGTGTAATTGTGCACAAGGACTAACCCTTATCAGCCAAGTGGTGTGCAAGGACTAATTCTAATAACTCAGGTGAGTGCAAACATTAAGTAAAATCAGTCAAATTGTATTCAATGACTCATCCTAAATTATTGGTTTTGAATTACGGACTATGACATCAAGGATTGACGTCGGAATATTGTGACATCATAAACGTTAATTGTTTCTCCGCACCATCGGACTTTGGCGTGTCAGACCATCGCACTTTAGCGCACGTGAATCATAGGAAACAAGCCATCGGACTTTAGCGTGACCATCGGACTTTGGCGTCCGTACCGACATCAAACCGTCGAGGTTTGGGGCAGACCATCGGACTTCGGCGTCACCATCGGACTTTGGAGTCCTACATATATATTCTTAGTACAATGAATTCTCTATATTTTATTCTCTATATTTTATTTATTTCTGTGTAATTTTCACTTAGCAAAAAATTATGTTCAATCACAAAAATCATGTAAGACAAGAAATTTGAAATGTTTCTCAGTGAATGTGATGTCCATCTTGATTACAAGGTACATTGTAATTCACTGGACAAACACTCATTTCATGTTAAAGATATGCTATCAGGTAGCCCAGTTACAGAACTATCATTGTGGGAAACAGTATTAATTTTGAGAAATATGCAGTTTTGGGTAGTTAAGAAAACAAGATTGTAAAGAATTATAATAGATATAAGACAAAATCATGCATACAGCATAAAAGGCAAATTATTGTTACAAGAATGGTCAATATGTAGAAGGAGGTTGGTTTCCTTTCTTGAAGTCTATTTCTGTGAGTCAGTTTAAAATTTAGGAACTCCATCAAAAGCATAATATAACCTTTTCTAATGTACATACAGTAGATATATAGGAAAAGCATTTATGCATAGAAGAAGATGTATAAATTGTTCATTACGCTCCGAGATTCATATAAATTAAGACCTAATTTAAATAATTCTGTAGAATGCTCGTTTGCTGAGTCAGTTTGTGTCACCCCACACTGGGAGGATATACAATAGAGGGACCACAGGACTTTGTACACCAATGCAGAAACATGTAGCCAGTCTTATCAAAACAGCTAGAGCATTTGGTGAGAACAGTTTTAGATAACATTCAATTTGTTTAAGAAGAAAAGTGTGACAGTAGCAAGATAAATTCATAAATGTATTGCAAACCAACTATTTTTTGAGACATCTTTTATTCTCAATTCTCAAGTTTGGAGTCCATCTGCAACTTCTAATTTTCTTGACGGAGATAGCATTGTTCATAAATACATTGGTGAATATTTGGTTCACATCGAGAAATATTGGCGAGTTATAGAAGATTATGAAATTAGTGAATATTTCTCGCTCGTGAATAAAATTTGGTTTACAGTACTTGCTTAAAAGAAAATTGATGCTGGGTATTTATGTAGATAAAGGAATATATATGTACAAGATTTTGCTGTTTAGATCTATGTTAGATCAAAAGTAATGCTTTTGCAACTGAAGAGACAAAGGTTTCATAATTTACTTGAACACAAGCACAGACACTTGTTAAGAACTGTAATAAATTTTTTAACCCTCAATATAATAAAAATAGTGTTATCATATTATGGATTAAAAAATTTATTACAGAAACAAGTGTTTGTGGTGACCTTTCTTAATGTACTTAATTTTTTTTATTTTAAATCCTGATATTAGTATGATGAACAGAAAACAGATACAATAAGCCACAGATCATCGTACCCCAACCAATTAAGACCCAGAAAGCAGGGGATTGCAATTTTCTGAATTTGTTTGTTTTTTAGGAAAATAATGCTTCATGAGAATAAAAATTCCAATTTCACTTCTTACATGCTGTTTTAATTGTTTCAGGTTTCATGCCTTTTCTCAACAAAAGAATGGAATTCAAAGATGATCCCGACATAAGATCAAAAGAGATTTAATGTGAATAACTTGGTTACTCATGTGTTTAATAAATGATAATACAGTCAAACATTGTTATCTCAAACTCATTGGGGCAGATAAATAACTTGGAGATATCTGAGGATTTAAGATATCAAGGTTAAAAATACATTTAGAAAAAGTGGTTTGGATTTCCAACTTACTTCGACATATCCATAGCATTCGAGATATCATAAGATTGTTCAAGATATCAAAATTTAACTGTTACAGTAGTTTTGAATCAATTCTTTATAAAATTATATGTATTGATTATAACTAGGAATTTTTAGTTCACCTGAGCTGAAAGCTCAAGTGAGGTTTTCTGATCACATTTTGTCTGGCGTCTGTCTTTCTATCCATCTGTAAACTTTTCACATTTTTGATTTCTTCTCAAGAACCACTGGGCCAATTTTGACCATACTTGCCACAAAGCATCTTTGGGTGAAGGGGATTCAAGTTTGTTCAAATGAAGGGCCACACCCTCTCTCAAGGGAAGATAATTTTAAAAGAATTAGTTAAAATTTAGTGTCATCTTTTAAAAAATCTTCTTCTCAAGAACCATTGGGCCAGAAAAGTTGAAATTTATGTGAAACCTTCATTACATAGTTTAGATTTAAATTTTTTCAAATCTTTAAAAAATCTTCTAGAGATCAACAAAGCCATGATTAGTTATATTGATGTCACCGGGTTCACAGGTGTGTGAAAGTCAACATATTCAGGTCTCAATAGCTCAGTGGTTAGAGCACTGGCATGGTAGGCCAGAGGCCCTGGGTTCAAGTTCCAGTTGAAACTTGTTATTTCACCACCTGTGGCATTTGGCACCCAACGTACAAATACCCACTATTCCCTTGGAACATGCCTTACAGCATTTCCTTAAGGTCAAGATCTAGTAAATAAAAGGAGTCTACAGATTTCTCAAATTTGAGAAATAAATTCCTTTAATGAAGCTTTATAAGTATAGCTTGGTCAAATAAGGTGTTTCGGGGCATAATTTGTAGGTAAACAAGACAAAAAATCATATCTTAAACTTTCATTTTCAATGAAAAATTAAGAAAATCAGTCATGAATATGGGAGTTTTTTCCATATCAGACAAATTAAATGTATCCAGATTGCCTACAGTCTCTCAGAAAATGGTATTTTGTATGTTCTTAGCCTCTTCTTTAAAATAATATTAAATTGAATATAGGTTTCGGGATTACTTTTCACATGATTTCAAATTGAATTCCAGAAAAGTATTTTCTACATAATTCTTTTACAGCTGTAAAGTACAGGAAAAAGAAAGTTTAATTTGATTATGACGTCATAATGGATCTAGCATCAAAAAGGCAGTCTAAAATCATTTACTAGATCTTGACCTTAACTCATATAGAATTAGAGGACAAATTTCACAAAGAGGGGGAATATTTCACCTGATTCACAGGTGTGTGAAAGCATCTTTGGCAATCCATTTCTTGTAAATCATGCATGCAGCATTCCTGCATGTCTTGAAGCCAGCTGTGGACAGTGTATAACTCAATAGTTAGAGTTATTCCCCTTTGTGAAAGAAATAAGATGTGTTTGTGAAACACTGATGCCCCTGTATGGCAACTTATAGTGCAAAGATTAAACATTCTCAAATGCAAATCAAATATGTTGGTACCCAAAGAAAGGTCTTGTCTCGAGGAATATACCTGTGAAATGTGAAAGCCCTAGCAGCAACTATTGAATATGGAAAAGGTTAAAAAAAAATTTCAGAAGTATGTCAAACATCAAGGTCAAGGTCAAAATTAATAGTGTAGATGCATTTATCAATGATTGTACAATTAAGCACTGATAAATTATAAAAATGATAAACTGATCAGGTTTGTTCTATCATTTGGATCTTCCTCCTTCTTTTGTTTCATGTTTGTAAATCTTTTTTGCTCCTCTGGGGGCCCAAATTGGACTAATAAAATCTAACTTGTATCTTGTACATATATATATATATATATATATATATATATATATATATATATATATATATATATATATATATATATATATATATATATATATATATTTGTTTACCTTTTCAATATACTAAACCGATTTCTGTAACGACCGAGTCTGGAGTACCTGTGTGTCTGAATCAGATCTTAAATCAACCACCAAAAAAATAAGCATTTTAAAATATTTCCACCATAGGGGCTTGTCTTCCGAATTGTTAAATGTAAAATAAATTAATAAAATTTTGAATACTTTAAATTTAATACACTTTAAAAAAGTGTATTAATTTAAATACACCTATATACATAGAGTTTATGTATATAGGTGTGGTACGTCTTTATCTAAATGTTTTTTCTTGACTGAAAGTGTCAGAATCTTTATTTTAACAACTAATTTAAGTGTATCTAGATTCAAAATTTTATTAATTTATTTTACATTTAACAATCCGGAAGACAAGCCCCTATGATTTCCACAAAGGAAAAAAAAGATGAGTCTTTAATATCATTATCATTTTTTATTTTTAATCCTCTTTATTCTTAACGTAGGTCGCGGGTTTGCAGATCCTCTACCTTCGTTTTACATTCTCTGAAAATTTTATAAAATTCGTCTGTATCGTTTTTGTGTAATTAAATCCCAAACATGCCATTGTTGTCGTAACATTTTCAACGTTATTCTATTGAATTATATCTGGAAAACGTCGTTTTTGGATCGTTTTGAGACCAGATTTTGTTTCAGAAAATATCAATAACTTTTAAATGGTGCATGCAGACAAAATTGTTTCCTTTTTAGTATTTTAACATAGAAATGATTTGAAATACATCTATGTGAAAAAATTAAGATGTCTTCGGGTTAGTTTTCTCGTAAATTAAATGTGGATAATTGCTTTTATATCGCAAAAATGTAACATTTTTAAGAACGACGTCATAAGATATTGCGACGTCACGCTTGACATCGTGAATATCGATCCGGTATACAGTGCAGAAAAACAAGAAAAAATAATTTTAAAATAAGAAATTCACGTCTGTCTGTTTTCAAATGACCAATGAATCGTATCATAATAATGTAATTTTTTTTAATCAGACGAAATAACACACAAGTGCCGCTCGCCCTGCCAAACGTTGTGAATTTAGACCTTTCATTTCTTCGTCGCAGTACTAGTACTTTTACTATGTTCGAATCTCTCTGTGATAATAGATGTAAACTGTAATGTTAATTCTCGATACAAGCACATTATCTGTATATATTTATACGTATATTTACACTAAAATCCTCACCAATATTTCTCCATTCTTGCAAATAGCCCCACGCGATTTTTCCACATACAGACACAGGATAAGTCAAAAAATAATTCTGATCTTGATTTTATGTAGTATACGTGTAAGAATTAAAATAAATAAATAAAACAATCGAACGAGACATTTTAAGAGGGGTAAATGGGGCGAAAATCTAAAAAAAAAAAAAAAAAAAATTATATTACCTAATCGACAGGCTATGGAATTCCATATACGACAGCCAACTGCTTACTGCCAACTGCTCACTGCTTACTGCCAACTGCTCACTGCTTACTGCCAACTGCCACGCATATTTGAAAAAAATTTCATATTTACATTGATATTTATGTGAATTTTCATAAAACCAGGCGCGGATCCAGGATTTTTTTTACAGGAGGGGTCCACCCCCCCCCCCCAAAAAAAAATCCAACACAGAAATTTCTTGACAAAAAACAAAAAACAAACAAACAAACAAACAAAAACGTAAACTCCTTTCCTAAACGTAAAAAAAACCTATTTCGGCGGGGGAAGGGGAGGGGTTGACATCTTATGCTTCATATCTATGACTTTTCATATCAACTTAACACGGATCCGCGTTTTCTAGGGGTGGGTGGGTTTCCAAGGTCACTTTTAGTTGGTTTAGTATAGGTCTATACATTAAATAACTCTACAAATTCCAGGGGGTGGTCTGGAACCCCCCCTTCCCAACGACCCCCCCCCCCCCTCTAGTTCTATGTATGTAAAATATAACTTATTTGGGAAAACAAAGAGATATAAATCTTTAATTTGAAAAAAATATTTTACTATAGAAATTAACGGAAAATGGAAATTTATTTTCAAAACATCTTCCCCCGCGAAACAACAGATCCCTTTTTTCAGTTTTTATTCATTCCAAAGGTTTTGTTGTCTCACGGGGGGGCGGGGGGGGGGGGGGGAGGCACGTGTTTAAAGATTAAAAACAGGAAAATAGTCATTTTATTACCAATTTTAAATGAGATCACAAATAAAAAATGTACTTTATCACTTTATCAATCTCATATGTTAAATTTTACATAAGTTAAAACATACGGTGAGATTCAAGAGTCATTTATCCATTATCATTTTCATGAGTATTTGAAAATGGTGACGTTTTCAGCCTGATTTCAATTAATAAAATTTTCTACCCCCTTATGAAAGGAGTTGTAAATAAGAGCAATTAACTTTTTGTCACTGGTTTTTAAAATTAGTACTTAATACTAATGAACTTTTCTTTGCATTCAAACAAGTTTTCATGTCCAAATTGCCATTTATATTGAATTAAATGGATGGAAAATGTAGGCGGGAATCAAGAGTTGGTGTGCATAGTTCTTACAATAATAACAAAATTTGGCGGATTTAGGAATTTTTAAACTGTAAAGGCGAGGAAGGAGTAAATCGGAAGAAGGGGTGTTTCCTCTTTAAAACAAAACATTTAATTTCTGCATTTCGTTGCAGGCAAATAATTTGATAGCTTTTTTTTTGACGCGGGTAAGGGGGGGGGGATCACATACGACAAAAGAACAAACTTTTAAAAGGGTCTTGAGTAACATTTGTTGGTATATGTATTTATAATAGAAATATTACTGAAAGTTATACTAACAAATAACTTTTGCCTAGTTTAAAATATCGAGTAATATCTTTCGGATTTTCTTTTTACCCTAGAAAAAGTACATGTGTATGGGAATTTTTATATGTGTCTTATGTAAATCGTTTTAATGGCTAATGTTCGATCTGTTAGATCTGTAAAAAAACATTCGTGGTGGTGTTGGTTGTAGGGGGGGGGGGGGGGCGTAACCACTAAATTTCCAACATATACTATATACAGTAGTTCTCCCTTACGGAAGCGTATTAGTGCCACGTAATGTTTTTTTTTAAAGTTGGTAATTCCAACTTTTAAGTTGCAATTGGAATTACAAACTTTAAAGTTGGAAAAGCCAACTTTAAAGTTGGAATTTCCAATTTTAAAGTTGGAAAAACCAACTTTAAAGTTGGAATTTCCAACTTTAAAGTTGGAATTACCAACTTTAAAAAAAAAAAAATTACGTGGCACTAATACCCTTCCGTAAGGGAGAACTACTGTATATAGTATATGTTGGAAATTTAGTGGTTACGCCCCCCCCCCTACAACCAACACCACCACGAATGTTTTTTTACAGATCTAACAGATCGAACATTAGCCATTAAAACGATTTACATAAGACACATATAAAAATTCCCATACACATGTACTTTTTCTAGGGTAAAAAGAAAATCCAAAAGTTATTACTCGATGTTTTAAACTAGGCAAAAGTTATTTGTTATTATAACTTTCAGTAATATTTCTATTATAAATACATATACCAACAAATGTTACTCAAGACCCTTTTAAAAGTTTGTTCTTTTGTCGTATGTGACCCCCCCCCCCTTACCCGCGTCAAAAAAAGTTATCAAATTATTTGCCTGCAACGAAATGCAGAAATTAAATGTTTTGTTTTTAAGAGGAAACACCCCTTCTTCCGATTTACTCCTTCCTCGCCTTTACAGTTTAAAAATTCCTAAATCCGCCAAATTTTGTTATTATTGTAAGAACTATGCAGCACACCAACTCTCTATTCCCGCCTTCATGAAAATGGATAAATGACTCTTGAATCTCACCGAAAGTTTTAACTTATGTAAAATTTAACATATGAGATTGATAAAGTACATTTTTTATTTGTTATCTCATTTGAAATTGGTAATAAAATGACTATTTTCCTGTTTTTACTCTTCAAAACACGTGCCCCCCCCCCCCCCCCCGTGAGACAACAAAACCTTTGGAATGAATAAAAACTGAAAAAAGGGATCTGTTGTTTCGCGGGGAAGATGTTTTGAAAATAAATTTCCATTTTTCTCAAATTAAAGATTTATATCTCTTTGTTTTCCCAAATAAGTTATGTTTTACATACACGGATGTAGAGGGGGGGGGGTGTCGGTGGGAGGGGGGTGGGTGGGTGTCCGGACCACCCCCTGGAATTTGTAGAGTTATTTAATGTATAGACCTATACTAAACCAACTAAAAGTGACCTTGGAAACCCATCCACCCCTAGAAAACGCGGATCCGTGTTAAGTTGATATGAAAAGTCATAGATATGAAGCATAAGATGTCAACCCCTCCCCTTCCCCCGCCGAAATAGGTTTTTGACGTTTAGGAAAGGAGTTTACGTTTTTGTTTGTTTTGTTTTGTTTTATTTATTTATTTTTTTTTTTGTCAAGAAATTTTTGTGTTGGATTTTTTTTTGGGGGGGGGGGGACCCCTCCTGTAAAAAAATCCTGGATCCGCGCCTGGTTTTATGAAAAATCACATAAATATCAATATAAATATGAAATTTATTCAAATATGTGTGGCAGTTGGCAGTAAGCAGTGAGCAGTTGGCAGTAAGCAGTGTGCAGTTGGCAGTAAGCAGTTGGCTGTCGTATATGGAATTCCATAACAGGCAGATTTGTTTTTTTTTTTTTTTTTGTTTTGTTTTTTTTTTTTACGATCGACTTTTCAATTTATAGGACATTACTTGTTGGACGTGGAAAGCAAAGTTGCAAATAAAATCTGTAGCTAACAGCATTGTAAGCCGTAATTTACAGGAGGTCAGTGTCGCTCAAAAATTGTCTTTATGTTTCATAGTACCTTTGCAGTTTTTAATTTGTGATTAACTTGTAGATATATATGTTTTAAAAATGTACTTTTAAAAAAAATTAAGTTTAAACTTTTGATGTAACAGGTGTATTTGCGATTGCTTACATAATAACTTCTTTATCAATAAAACAAGCTGTTAAAATACGTTCAAAGGGGGAAAAAACGTCAGTTTAAACATGTGTTCATATCGTCCATATGTGTCCAAGCGGTTGTTTTTCGGCCTGTTGGAAAAGCCCGACAATAAATAAACGGTTTCTAATACTTCCGGTGTCGATCAAATCTTTATTATTTGTGACAACTTAGTTTGTTTCATAAATAATATAGCTAACACCATAAGTTCCAACAAAGTAATATCTAAATATTCAAATCGTATAAAGCCTTCATTATTTGTGATGTTTGTTCCTTAAATAATACGACACTAAACTACATGTATCAATTCCAACAAAAGTTATAGCTAACTCATGAATGATAAAAAAAATCATCGCAGATTTCTTTTTCATTGTGACGTCATAATCAAATGTGCACAAAAAAGTCGTCAAAAATCATACAAATTGTGTACCCAGTTTTAACGGCGTCAGCAAACCCGCGACCTACGTTAATATTCTTGATCCGCCACTGATTTTCCTTCTGTTGCATGCGTTTGGAGTTCGCGGGTAAAATGCCGTTGCCACGCATTCTCTGCGAACCTGTGTCTGCTCATGCAGAAAATTTGGAAATAGTTCCAATGCTGTAAAATATATGCGTATGAATTGACAGTTCCAAAAATTAAGCCAATAAACAATGAATTAAATATAACAGTAATAAAAAATATCTCCAATTTCATAAGAAGTTAATCACGACAGTAACTGTTTGTAAAGAAGGATAACTTCAAATGGGTTTATATTTTGGCGCAGGCATATCCGGCGACAACCTAGAGGAACAGCCAAGGTTTCCTCTGGGGTAATATAGTGTTATCGTATATTCTTATGTTTTTTCCTCGATGTAAGTATTTAGACGGTCTTAGTGATGTAGTTCTGCTTTGAGGAAACAGTATTTGCACCAGGGACGTTCAATGCAGTGAACTGTTTATCATTGAGTGTCATGAGGCTAAATCTGTAAACGTACCCCCATCGTCCTTCAGTTTCCGGGGTAAGTTACCTGAATTTGTATAAGTTATGTGCATTGAAAATCAAAATAGAAAGTGAAAGATAATCCATACCATTATACGTCATTAAATATGGGGTTTTGCTGCTTTTGTAATGTTATGTGTGTCCTGTTGGTCGTTTGGACAAGGATGTCCTCCTACTATCCCGTCCATGTTGTTTGACACCGTCTATACAGCTTAGTTGATACTCAAAATGTCTTTTTAGAGGAAAAATTAATCTTTTATTAGCCAACAATTCAATTTATGCAAAACGTTATTCGAAGTAAATGTGGATTTTACGTTTGTTGCGTCAGTTTATTTTGACAAGGGAAATAACTCCTACAGCTGTCAAAATTTTTAATGAGAAAGTTCAGAAAATGGGGCATTTAAAGAATTTACTAAGAATATGATGTCACTGATTTTTCATGTTATAGAAGATGGAGAAGGCTTAAATAATAGTGTGTGTGTCAGTTTTTATCACTGACATAAGGTATAGCATTTTTGGTATGCCATGAAAATGATGAATAGTAATAACTAATATGTTGACAGTACAACCGTTAGGGCGAGCACAGATACTTATCCAGTTTTAACTTAGATCGGGCTCGATTGTCAAACTGCACGTGACATTTGGTGTCTAGACTCTGACGTCACACGACGTCATATTTAAGTTGCATTCCCAAACCGAAGCCTGAACATTGTTGACTTTAATGAAGAAATTTTATTTACTATTTATCTGCCATATATCCATTAAATCAAGGCGAGTTTATTTATTTTTTGTTAAACTTTTGTTGTTATTCTTGGGAGAACATAGCTTAAACAAGCGATGCATTGTGGATGTAGAAGTAACTGTGGAAAAAAATTCGTTTTGATCAATGTGTTAGTCCGAATTTTCTCTTCACCCAGGCGTTGTCGTTAGAGCTCGCATTGTGAGCAGCACTTCGCGCCACTCGCTGCGCTCACTATAATATAAATAATAATTACAGTAAAACTCTTTTAATTAGTACGAACAGGGATATAGCGAATTCACGGATATAGAAAAGTTTTCTGGGATCCCCAGCTATATAAATTTTACGAATTCCTTATACGGATATAACGAATTATGGATATAATGAAGTAATTTCACAGGTCCCAATGACTTCGTTAACCGAGTTTTACTGTACTACCATATTTTAAAAACATTAAGGAGACACTGATTAACCCTTGTTCAGTCTGGTTCAGAATGCAATAGTCAAAGTACCAGCATATTTGTTGAATAAAATGAAATTTATTCCAAAATGCAACAATTTTATGTAATTTTAAATTTTTGTTCAATAATTCTCTGTTGTTTTGGCAGGAAGACAATGGATTTGTCTAGAAGAGAGATGAAGAAATACATACCACGAGATAGAATTTTTATGTAAAGCTTTATCAAGCATCTTGTCTTCCTCTTAACAACCAAGACCATGTTGTCCATAAAGAAATTCCCCAGTGCACGTCTGTCCCAGTGGTTTCACTGTATGTACCCATGTTTGGCAAAGAAGCAGTGCTGAGCAGTTTCCATGAAGTTTCCTGAGCATAAACTGTTCATGGAAACTGTGCGGCTGCCGTCGCCAGTTCAGAAGTGGTTTGGTCACCAGTTGGAGATTCGTGGCATCGACTCCATCATTTATTCCAGACACATAATTCACCTTCTTCAGCAGGATGATGATGAGTTTCAAGACTATGTTGACCTTGACCTCCTTTTCGACCCCAAAGCTGACAAAAAACATCAATGTAAGCCTGCCAGATATGAAAAGAAAAAATTGAAGAATTCTGAGGAGAGGAAAAAGTCGGCAGCAATTGAATGTCTGCAAGCTGTTTCAGATGAGGTAGGAAAGAGAAATCAAACTTTTATGCATGATATAAATATACATGTATATATCATTATATCAGGGCTTTCAATAAGGGACAACAGGAGGTGATTTATCACCATTTCAATGATAAAAATTTGCAGCTTCAAATTTCATAATTGGTACAGGGAACTATTGGAAATAATTCTAAAACAATCACTTCAAATAGATAAATTCACCTCTTAACTTCAAAATCATTGAAGGCCCTGTTTATAACAAAAATGTATAGCAGTTTGGTTTTCCTAATTGCATGTGATGCTTATATTTCATTGTTTGATTGTCTGATTGATACGTTAGGGTTAATGTACGAGTAGTGCTCCATTCATTAAAAGTAATGCAGCCCTCGGCCCCAAAGGGGCCTCTGCTCCATTACTTTTAAGGAATGGAGCGCTACGAGTACATTAACCCGCTTAAAATCCACTGTTTTAAGTGCTTGTAATTATTGTTTGTTAATATATAATAAAACTAGAAATATGTCCATAGGACATGAATGCCCCGCCGAAGGTATATTAGTAATGCAACATTTTAACACAAATTGAGGAAAGTGAGGTCAAGGTCAAAGGAAAGGTCAAGGTGAAAAAATATCGATGCAGTTGAATAGCTTGCATCAGTATGTATCAGCATATGAAGTTTGACACTAATTTAAGAAAAGTGAGGTCAGGTCAAAGGAAAGGTCAAGGTCAAAAAATGTTGATGCAGTTGAATAGCTCTCATCAGTATGTATCAGCATATGAAGTTTGATAACACTTTCTTGAATGGTATCTTTAAAACTGAGCTAAAAACTTATTTAAGAAAAGTGAGGTCAAGGTCAAAGGAAAGGTCAAGGTCAAAAATATTGATGCAGTTGAATAGCTCTCATCAGTATGTATCAGCATATGAAGTTTGTTAAAAATATCTTGAATTGTTTCATTAAAACTGAGCTAAACACTAATTTAAGAAAAGTGAGGTCAAGGTCAAAAGAAAGGTCAAGGTCAAAAAATGTTGATGCAGTTGAATAGCTTACAACAGTATGTATCAACATCTGAAGTTTGATTACACTATCTTGAATGGTATCTTTAAAACTGAGCTAAACACTAATTTAAGAAAAGTGAAGTCAAGGTCAAAAGAAAGGTCAAGGTCAAAAAATGTTGATGCAGTTGCATAGCTCTCATCAATATCTATCAGCATATGAGGTTTGATAAAAATATCTTGGATAGTTTCTTTGAAACTGAGCTTTGAACAGAGCTAAACGCAAAATGTGACAGAAGGACGGAAGACGGACATGACAAACACTATATGCCCCGGCCATATTCATGGCGGGGCATAAAAATATATATTAAAGATACACAGTAAATATATATTTAACATATTAGTAGTATTTAATATATATATATATATAGAGAGAGAGAGAGAGAGAGAGAAAGTAAAGCGAGTAAAGTTTTATAAAGTAATTTAAATCCGTCATCTGTCAACAGTGTAGTGAGATGAGTGTCTGACTATCATGGTGAGGGATTGATTGATTGATTCGCAGTGATTCCAGTATGATTTTTTCTTAATACAGGCTTTTCAAAATGTACCGGTAACTGGTACTTTTACCTGGCAGGTTCATGATTGTACCCGCCAATATATTCATTGGAGAAAAATTTGATAACACATTTAACTAAAATAGCTTCCACAAGATACCTCCTATTTTTAGGTCACCTGAGTAAACTCAGGTGACCTATTGCTATCCGTTTTCGTCCGTCGTCGTTCGTCGGTCGTAAACTTTTGAACATTTTTAGCTTCTTCTCTGGAACCACTGAACCAATTACATCCAAATTTGGTATACAGCATTTATGGGTGAAGGGGAACAAAAATTGTGAATTTCATGGTCCCTGCCCCCCTGGGGCCTGAGGGGTGGGGCTAAAACCACCAAAAATAATACAATCTTTAAAAATCTTCTTCTTTACTCCTGGACATCAAGCAGTCAAACTGTTGGCATCATTGTAATAAGCATTGAGCCCTCTACCAAAATTGTGAAATTCATGGCCCCAGGGTCAGGGGTTCTGGCCCAAGGGTGGGGCTATATAGATCATATAGTGAAAGTGTGTTATTTCTTTGAAAATCTTCTTCTCTGCTCCTGGGTATGAAATAAAGTTACTAAGTACATAGTCATGATGAGCAAGAGTGCCTCTTCCAAAATTGTGAAATTCATGGCCCAAGGGTCAGGGGTTCTGGTGTTAGGGCGGGGCTCTATTGATTATATAGTGAAAATGCATTAATTCTTTGAAAATCTTCTTCTCTGCCTCTGGGTATCAAATAAAGGAACTAAGTACATAGTTATGATAAGCAAGAGTGCCTCTTTCAAAATTGTGAAATTCATGGCCCCAGGGTCAGGGGTTCTGGTGTTACGGTGGGGCTCTATAGATTATATAGTGAAAAAGCATTAATTCTTTGAAAACCTTCTTCTTTGCTCCTGCGTATTAAATAAAGGAACTAAGTACATAGTTATGATGAGCTAAAGTGCCTTTTTAAAAATTGTGAATTTCATGGCCCCAGGGTCAGGGGTTCTGGTGTTAGGGCGGGGCTCTATTGATTATATAGTGAAAATGCATTAATTCTTTGAAAATCTTCTTCTCTGCTTCTGGATATTTAATAAAGTAACTAAGTACATAGTTATGATGAGCAAGAGTGCCTCTTCCAAAATTGTGAATTTCATGGTCCCAGGGTCAGGGGTTCTGGTGTTAGGGCGGGGCTCTATCGACTATATAGTGAAAATGCATTAATTCTTTGAAAATTTCTCCTCTGCTCCTGGGCATTAAGGTGATAAACTAAGTACATAGTTATGATGAGGAGGTGGGCCTCTTCCAGAATTGTGAAAGCCATGGCCCCTGGGTCAGGGGTTCTGGTGTTAGGGCGGGGCTCTATTGATTATATAGTGAAAATGCTTTAATTCTTTGAAAATCTTCTTCTCTGCTCCTGGGTATTATTTAAACAAACTAAGTGCATGGTTATGATGCATAAGGATGCCTTTTCCAAAATTGTAAATTTCATGGCCCCAGGGTCAGGGGTTCTGGTGTTAGGGCGGGGCTCTATTGATTATATAGTGAAAATGCATTGATTCTTTGAAAATCTTCTTCTCTGCTACTGGAGATTATTTTAACAAATTAAGTGCATGATTATGATAGACAAGGATGCCTCTTCCAAAATTTTTAAATATATCGCCTCAGTTTTGGGGGTTCTTGAGGAGGGGGGGCTCTATTGATTATATAGTGAAAAAGCATTAATTCTATTAATTAATCATTAATTAATCCTGTCGGCTCCTTAGTGTTGAGCTGATAAATAAATTGCTTAGCTATGATAAAAATGGGAGCTTCGAACAGAATTTTTAAATCTTGTGGTCCTTGGGTCAGGGGTTCTGGCATAACGAGGAAGGGGGGGGGGGCTTTTGATAATATAGTGGAAAAGTGTTAATTCTTTGAAGTCCATAGTAATGATGATGAGGGTAACTCTTCCAAATTTCTAAATTTCTTGACCCTTGGTCTTGGGTTCTGGTGTTAGGGTAAGGCTTTGTTGAATCTGTAGTGAAAATGCATTGTACCTGTGAAATTCTTCTCTGCTTCTTGGCATATCGGAAGCAAACTGAGTAAAAGTTTAAATGATATGAGTAAGCATATTTCTACCAGATTTTTAAACATCTGAACCATTTGTCTAAGCATTCTGGTCCTGGGCAGGGCTCTATTAATTTGTATTCTACTGAGAGAAGTTATTCCCCTTTTCCATTCACCTTTGATAATTAATCACTGTAAATAATGTATTTGAAAGGTTAATAGAATAAGATAATTATGCAAGAATGTTTATCGTATAATTAAAAAAGTACTTTCTTATTTTTAATTATCAGGTAGACCTGTAAGTAATAGATAAATAAAAATGAGACAAAAATAACTTATCTTATTAAAAGTTCTTCAAAGACCATAAGAGAGGTCAATGCTAGAGGTCTTAATATGGGTTTATAAATAGTACAGAAGCACTAATAGTTTGTTAATAGGCTGCATGGTGATTAGTGTTAAGTGGGGGACAGATTAGAACTCAATTTCTGAGTTGATAGTGAATACTAGACTAATTATTTTGTTGATCCTGATCTTCCTACTTCTCTTGTTTTTGTTCCTCTGCTCTGCCTCTGGGTATTAAGTAATCAAAGTAAGCATGCTAACCGTATAGTTATGATAAGCAATAGTGCCTCTTTCAAAATTGTGAATTACATGGCCTCTGGTTTAAAATACGAACCAAATTCAATTGTTGGAAAGTTGTTACACAATACTCAGGTGACCTATAAGGCCCGTGGGCCTCTTGTTGATAAAGTACGGCCTGTTTCTAATCTTTTTGAAAGCCCTGTTAATCTTCAATATGAAAATAAACTTTAGTTAATTAATGAAAATTTTTTTTAAGTTCTTTCTTTGGTAGAGGCACGAAAAGAATTTGAACATAGCAAACAGTGTTTTCAATGTAATTTGCAACTCTCCATTCCTGAAAAATAATGGAGCTCTCAAACAAAAGTGGATTTTAATAGTAATTCTGTTCATTGAAAATGTTTGCAATGTGAATATCTGGGCAATATTTCATTTAATGCAACCATTACATGTTACACTTATGATTATATTATTGTTTTAAATGTTTGTGCTCCCTGAAGGCTATTCATTGGTGATAAAACACATATGTATAGTTTTTAGTAGGGCTGCGCAATAATATCGATATTCCAGTACCGTATATTGCGATTTATTAACAAAGAATATTGTATTGTGATACGTTTTCCCAGTACGGATATACCAGCAAAGTTGAAACTGCTTGGGCTTTAGATTTCTTAAGTAAAATATGAAAATTAATATGTAAGAAACAGTACCAAACAGTAAGGTTGCTCTTGTATGGTTGCATTTCATTCCAAAATTGTAGTGAAATCAAAAAAAAAAAATTGTAACAATGTATTTATAATTATAGTTTTACACACGTTGCTTATAGATGGA